ACTCGCAGCGTTTTCTCTGAGAATGTCCTCGTGCATAAACTCCCTTTTACACCCCCACCTCCTACGAGAACAGTATAACTCTTGGCATTATACTTACATATGAATTGTAATGGATACCGCTAGGTGCAGAGCAAAGCATTGCAAGGAGAAGCTACCCCGAAGGTAGCCCTGCCATGTCTCCTGAGAGGCAAGTCGGCTTGCATAGAGGTCAGCGCCCCAACCCTCTCCTCCGAAAAGGGTGCTTCAGAGCTCAGGACGAGCTCCGGAGGAGCCAGACCTCTGCCTCCCCTAGCCGGTTAATGTCCACTCCTCACCTTAAAAATAAAAATAAGGGAGGAGATGTTGGGGGCTGGGATAAGCCTGAAACAGGCTGATACAATCAGGCCTGAAGGTTGCGCCTGAATAACAGGATGCTGCGGTTAGGAGCCATAGAACCTCCCCTCCTGGACATGCGGGTGGCACACCAATCAGTGCCTTGATCACGCGCCCCGCCACGCACCCCCCGGCCAATCGCAGGCTAGAGCACGCTCTGAAGCCACCTATCCACTGCACTTCCTCCACTGCCCTCCTCTATATAACTCCCTCCATTTTGAAATAAATTTGCAGCTTGATCAGAATCCTTTGTCTTGCTGCCATTCTTCGCGCCTCCTGTCCCATCCCCCTTCATCCGTTACAGGTATATCGGCAGACCCCGTTGACTGCCTCGCGGGCCGAGGCAGCATACCAAGCTGGGACAGAACTTTCTAGTCTGGAAAGGGCTGCATTTCTGTATAAGTAGTTTTGATAAGTGATAAATCACCTAGAAAGAATTCAGAAGGGGCTAAATCTCCCAGCCTAAAGTAACTTGTTGTGAATTCTTTTTCATTTTAGTTAAGTATTTCTTATTGTATACGACCTAAAAGATAGCCCCTGAAATTAAATAACCTTCAAGCCCCCTCCAAAACATTGGTATCTGACCCTGTTACACAGTTCAGAAAACCTTTAGCAGGCAGTTCCTTTTTTCTATCATTGAAAGAACATTTACAAGGAAACAGGATCTCATTTTCATTTCAGGAAGAGGACTGGTTCTGAATTACCAGTATTTCTAGTCTTGGAAAGAGAGCAAGCCAGTCAAGGTGTTACTGTAGGTAGCTAGCTAATTATTAATAAGAAAGAGAGCAAAGGGAATTAGACATTGAGCTTAATAAACTGGGGGGCATGAGCCTGTCTGCTTCACCAGGAAGCTGCAGCCTCACACCCCAGGGGAACACAGCACTGCTCCACTAGGGATTATTAACACACCTCCCTCGCACCCTCCAGGACCAGATTGTTGGGGGGGGGGGGGCTTGACTGAAAAGGCCTGTCTACCTAGGGGGTGTGGACCTATCAGAAGCCTGCAAAAGCTTGAGAAGTTTATTGGTTCTTTTGAAAAAGCACCTGGTCTGTCCCCAATCCAAGCTAATACAATCCCACAGGAACAAAGAAGCTCTCTCTCTTTCTCTTTCTCTCATTCTCTCCCCACCCCAACCTGGTAATGCACTTGCCCCAGGCATCTGCATGTTCTCTTTCACCCAGAAGCATGTGACCATGTGGGTCAAGCAGCTACCAGGGCTCGCAGAAGATGGTGTGGACTCCAAAATACTAAGCTTTAATATAAAACAGAAACTCTGGACAATGGCTTTTGTTTTGGCCTTGCTGAGGACACAGTCGGACTTTTTCCATGGCGGGACAGGCAGAGATGGGACACTGGAAACCCAGGGCAGCCTTCTTCCCAAATAAACCATTTTGCCACACCTCAGTCTCCCACATGCGGGTCCTTGGGATGATTTCCCTATAATCCGGTGGAAGAGCCTAATTCCCAACAACAACAAAGGGGCAAAAATATATCCACATATATGTCTTTGTCTAAATACTGTCGCTCACCTCAGATTAAAAACACTCTGGCAGGAGTGCCCCTGTGTTGACCCACGTGTGGCAGGACCAAATCCCACTGCTGGCCAGTCCCCCCCGGGACCACAGTAAGTCACAGAGATATGCTTCCAGAAGTGGATGGTGGTAGCAACCAAGGTCCCCAAAATTCTCAATTAAGTGTTACATAAACATTACAAATGATGTCTTTGTTTACAGGTGGAACAGGTCTCTTTAATTCTTTTTTATGAAATAATCATAAAATCTAACCACAGGCTATCACTGATGTCAAGAGAAAAAAAACACTAAAAATATTGTTTAATAATTTAACGTAAAGACTCTGTATTTACCTTACCAGGTACACAAAACAGGGAGAGAAACAATAAAGCAGGTGCTCCAAGCTGCCTCCGAGACCCGCTCACCCACAGGAATAGTATCAGTTCTGCCCAGAACAGTAAAAGCTCGTCCCAAAGGCAGGGCCTCCAGAAATGCCCCTGGTGGTGGCCTCTGCAGCCCTGGGTATGCATGGGGGGGGGGGGGGATTCTTCCCAAGACAACAAGACCCTTTCAGGATCTTTTAAAGAACAAAGCATAAGGGTGACCACTCTTGCAAGAGGCATTTGCTATTTGCTCAGACCCCAAGGCCAGGGTCAAAAGCCTGGCTGGGTTTAGGGAGAAAAATGGAATAATCATAGGGTGGGGACAGATCACTTTCTCTAACAACAGTGCTGTGCCAGATGGCTGAAATGCAGATGAAATCATAACCAGACTAAAGGACACTAGCCAGAAGACCTCCAGCAGCCATGTCACAGACAGAAAGGGCAGCACGGAACTGCGGGCATCTGCCCTTGGCTCCCTTCTCTCATCAATCCTGAACTGTGTCGGATGAGAAGCCTGACTCCTGCCACCTTGGGGGCGCACTTCAGCGATCCCACGTGGCCTACTAAATACTTTCGGAACACCACCCAGCTGTTCTCCCTTCTGGGTTTCCATTCCACCCTTTGCTGAGTCCATGACTCCAATAGATGAGTCTGTGGACATGCCCGGCACAGTAACAGCACGGTGGTGATGAGCTCACCCTTGGCAGTATGCCGAAGTGGCTTTGAATCCCGAGAATGTGATCAACCTACCTCATAGGGTTGCTGTAACTTTTTAGGGCCATAATGCACAAAAGGCACAATTCCAAAACCCTAATAAAAACTTGTGAAGTGTTGGCCGTGATTATTCTCCTTGCTTTGGCAGTATCCCTGGTCTCCATAAATCTAAAACCAACCTCACCTCAGCCCCCAGATTTTACCTGACCCTCTGACCTCAAATGATTGTTCCACCTGAACCCGGAGCACCTCTCGCCTCTTGCAAAATTCGTTAGATCGCCCCCACATCTTAACCTTATTTTTACGGGATGTATCCTTCCGTAGACTGGCTTCCTGACCCCCCTGATGACAAGCACCACAGGTGAGGGACCATTTCTTAGCTGTCCTCATCTTCCCCCAAGCAACCGGCACCCTGGGCTTGGCCATGGGAGACTCCAAAACTGGCTTGATTTGATTCAAAAGCTAACACAAGTAGGACAAAGTGTGGGGCCTGGGAATTTGAGTTGGGCCACTGCAATTGTGTTTACGGAAATTACTTGAAACCCTCACACTAGGTTACACAAATCCTCCTTCTGTGAGACCATACGTACATATTTCTAACTTCACAGTGCATCCTTGCTGCCATACAAAGATCAGTGCTGAAGGTCCTCACAGCAAGTCTCCCAGCAGGCCACTTTGGCATGAGGATTATTCTGAGCGAAAGGCAATCAAAACCCAGCAGAGTCAGGAAAAAGTCTTCACCACCACTTTCCATTAAATTTACCATGGAAAGGGGCCTGTACCAATGAGACAGCCATTGGCAGAGATTCCTTTTTACCTGAGAAACTTACCTACGTGGCGGGGTGGAGCAACCTCCCCCCTCCCCCAAACATCTCCTCGGCCTCCCTGGGACTGGCCTTCTTCCGCTCTGCATCCCCAGACCCCCGCCCTCTCCTTAGCTCAGGAGCTCGGATAAGCTGCAATGACCAGCTGCCCTTTTGTGTCTCCTGTCTTTATGCCCCCACTTCGTATGTCAGTAATTAAATTTACTTTCTCCTGTTAATCTGTCATGTCATTTCAGGCAAAGAATCTAGAGAGAAAGAAAGGAAAAATTCCCACCCTTACAGCTTGAAGCAGCTTTATGGGGACACTGGTTCCGCAGGTTGGAAGAACCTCATCGAACCCCAGCAACAGCCAGTCTCCTTGCAGAGGCCTTTCCCATACAGTTGTCTTGGTCACATGACATGCAAGAGTCAATTTACTGTGAGCCAGATCACCAATTTATGTATCTCCAATAGTGGTTGTTAAATTAGTCCTTCATTTAGGGTTAAACAGAATGATGAAAATAGACCTCAAGGATGGAGGATGGTTCTTCTTCAACATGTGGCCCTGCACGTGAGACCTAGTGGTCAAGGTGCCTGATTCTGCGCCTCAGGTGTGGTTCTCACCACACTCCACATGGGCTGAAATCGAGCCACTGGCGGTGTGCTGACCAGTGCGCTTTCCAACGACCACTCTTCTAGGACTTCAAACACACAGCACATCACAGTGGCAGGGAGAGGCATGCGCCTCAAAACGTACATCACCAGAAAGACCTCCACGTGTGTTAGTGGGCCATTCTTTAGGGTGAGGGGTACTGACTCTAAAAGCAACCACAACCCCAGCGTTTCCAACAGGGATTTACATTAGACACCAGACAAGTAGTTGGGACAAGGCAACAGTGGAAAAAAAAACCCCAAAACCAGAAAACAACATCAGGTTGCAGATAAGGACGTCTAAGAAAGGAAACATGACCTCACTTCCTGTCCCCAAGGACTGGTATAACTTCCTAAACTAAGCGCAGGGCCTACACAAATGGTCAGATAAATACTTCCTTTTGTAACCGATTCACTGGGTTTGTTGTCAACATCACCCACCCCAGGGAGGATGACAGTATATACTTTCTGCCCAGACCTGTGTTTATTCTTCAACTCAGATTCCCTGCAGATGTTGTTTGCCCTCGGGCCCTGGTCTGGCCCACAGCCTGGAAAGGTGGCTTACCCTCTGCGACAATGACTTCCTCCTCCTGGCCGTGCAGGGCTCCCTCCTGGGGGCCCTGCTCTCCTGGCTCAGCTAAGCTGTTGACCGTGGACAGCTGACCATTCTTCTGTAGGAGCTATGGGGAAGACAAAACTGAGCGTCAGTCTTCACAGCCAAGTTAGAGATACTATAACATCGAGAAAAATAGATCATTTAGAGGAGAAATACACAGAAACAGAGGCTCGATGACAGTGAAGACTTAAGTCTTTTATTCACCTGAATGACCGACCAGCTACCTTACAGAAGGTGCCAGGAGCTGCTGTCAAGCAGACAAGGCTTTGCATCCACGTAACCGTGCACGCCACCCATTCATTCACCCAAACACCACTCGTGACTCACACACCCCCCCGTGCCAGGCTTGGCTGAGACCTGACAAACAAGGAACACATCCCATGTGGCCCCCACCACATGGAACTCACAAACTGCCATGGAAGCCAGACTTCTCTAAGTATCTTTTACCTTAAAGTTTCCTTGTGATTAGAAGTTACGCATATTTGACTAGAATATGCATACATGACAATGTGCCCTTCTCAAGGTACAGAGCAGGCAGTTTAAAAAATACATTCACAATCGGGAAGGAGGAATACATAGAACAAGGGACAATAAACAGCAGCCCCTAACCTAGGCTGGGGTGCTGGGGGAGGGGGGCTTCTCGGGAAGAAGAGGTAACCCTGAGACCTAAGTCCCCGGGCAAGGGGAGTGTGAGACAACAGCAAAGGGTGCAGAGAAGAGGGACAGGTGGAGAGGCCCCTTGGTTCGAAGGCCGGTCTATCCAGAGCGAACGAGAAAGGAATAAGAAATGCGTGTTTTTACGGTCATTGTTTTTCCTTTAGAAGGTCTTACTAAAATAGTCATCAGCAATCTCCCCTCTAGAATAGTGTGTGCAATCGAGGTCATCAGTTGCAAAAACTGTAGATGTATAGACATGCCCTCAGGTCATTTTTTAAATCCTGAGAATATGGGTAAAAAGTTTTAAGCCAAATAAAAATAGCACAATAACCTGGAGGGACCTAAAGATTTCAACAATATTTTATAGTTCATATGCTTTTCCCATTTGTCTTAATGCCGACATAGCAGGTGCCGTTGTTCCCATTTCATGGATGAGTACCCTGAGGTGCAAAGCGACGGCAGAGCAGCTGGGTGGCTGGACAGGTCCCGCGGCTCAGGGACAGCACTGGCTGTGGCCTGAAGGCCAAGACTCGCCACTGACAAGTCCCAGGGCTTTTCCACAACACGACGAGTTGTTGAAGGAGCTGTTGCTACGCACAATGATAAAATGCCTCAAAGAGTGTTCCACAGTGCCCGGTCCTGCTACTCCAAAGAAATCTCCAAGCTTAACACTGCACTTGGCAGCATCCCACGGTGCCGACAGGCCAGCGGAGCATGCCGGCCAAACTGCTGACTTCCATCGGAGCCTGGAAGGGCCAGCGGGTTCAAGACAGTCCATCCGGAAGGCTGCAACTGTGCTACATTGGTTCCACCTGCGGTTCCCTGCGCCCAGCAAAGCTGCCCTTCAACGGCCTGAGCTGCTCCTGAAATGATACCCCTGCACCGTAACACCCACGCTGCCAACAGAATGGTTGGCTTCCGCAGGCCTGGGCCGAGTCCATTTACTAGACAGAATGCTCAGATCACGTTTCCACTTAAAGTCTTCTCTTACCAAACTATGCAAAATGGGGCTTTTACATGAAACCCGATGACAAAAGCAAAATGGCGGGGGGGGGGGGTCTCCACAATGCTCATCAAAAAACGTCAGCGATTAAGAGTATTTTAACTAAATATCACTAGTTATGTGCACAGGTTAGACTTGTACTTGATTAATAATATGAAGAGCCAGGGGAGGAAAGCAAGAAACACATTATTCCAGGCTCCCCAGCAACCCAATGAATCTTAAACCTAAAAACTGGTGACACGTGGACCATAATATGGCAACTAAACAGGGAACATGCAGTGAATGTTGGCCCTGGTTTAGGAACCCGAGCTCTGAAGTTTGACAGAGTTTGCAGCTCTACAGAGTTTCTGTGAGTTTTGAAAGATTTCTCATAATTGTTTGTGAATTATCAAGCCCGAGGTATCTTTAGCGGGAGTCGTATGGAGTACCTTTAAAAGACATGAAGGATCTTAAAGGACCAGGTGCAAACTTTCATGTCCATTTAGAAATGATAGACGTATATGATGAAGTATATTAGACGATGTAAATGAAAGGAGTCTTAAAAACCGAGCTCACCTGCTAGCCTTCCTTACACCTGAAGTGTGCTGAGTAAATTCTGGGTTAGTCACTTCCAGCAGCCACAGGGCAACGGCCTCACCAGGGCAATGGTCTCGCCTTCAGGAAGGCGTCTGATGAACTGACTTTGGTGACAGGCAATTTATGGTGGTGACAGTGTTGAAATTGAGTTTAGACATGATCTCAGGATACGCGTAGCTTGGGTCTGGCAAGTATACCCAGGCCGCAACCCCACGGGTGACGTCTCTAGTAAATATTCGGAGTCTACAGCCCATCAACCCCCACACAAAAATGGGTCTTCATTCCTGGCCCCACTCAGACATTTTTACCATTCTGTTTCACCTAGAGACGCTTTTCACAAAACCTCATCTGTTCTTGAGGCTGGATTCTGAACTTTTTTCCAGGCCATAAAAAGGGGTGTTTCTTTTCCTTCTCTCCCACCCCCAACCATCTAAATAATTCATGATCCAATGAATGGTACACCTAAGGGTTCCCATGCCTCTCAGAGTTATCAATACATGAAGGTCACCCCAAGTCATAAGAAACCTAACATTGTTCCTTAACATTTGAGGTCCTTTCTACCCTTTCTGTGTGTCCATATGCACATGTATATTCTTCGAAGAAAAAAAAAAGAAGAATACAGGCTTTTTATAACCAAATTGTTTCATATATTGTGGATGCATTTCTTTGGTTTTTTTTTCTTTTTCTTTCTCTTTTTCATTTCTTCATCAATAATCAATAAACACATCTGGCTCGTTGTCAGCCATTCGCTCAAAAGTTATGTTTTTTGAGATGGGAACTCGACTTGAAAGTCTTGCTCCTCGCACTTACACGCACTTACACGTAGCAAGCACCAGGAAACCTGTTTTCCCACTGGATCTGTGCTTCAAAAAGGGTAAACGCCTCCTCTGAGCAAATCAAAACCCTCAGTGTTTCCAAGCTCACATCCTTTGAGTAGGTCAGCCAGAGTTTATTCCCATAGTGTATTACCACATTACCACTAAAAAAATGTTGAAAAAAGATCTCAAAAGCTTCCAGCATTTTCCTCTCATTCCTGTAAGAACAAGAACTGAGAATCTCAGAAATGGTCGCCAGGGCATTGCAGAAAAACGACCACACTTGGTCCTGCTTCCTCCTGCACGGCTGTCAGAGGGAAGCATTGGGCTCCTGCGTGAAGGAGCAAAACAGAGGCGCTCCTGACGGCTGTCAGGGTGCTGGGGAAGCGGGGTGGGGGGAGCCCACTAAGGCCACCATGCTCACCACAGCAGTGCTCATTGTCTCTGGATGACCGCACAGGGTCCCACGGTCCAAGGGGCAGATGAGGCTCTGAGCACACAATTTGCCCCGACTCCAGAGGCAGACCCCATGGTGCAGAACCATTCAGTGGCCGTAGGAACCAGAACCTTGTGAATATGACAAGGACACACACACACACACACACACACACACACACACAATTAGAATAAAACAATATCCCGAAGGAATTTTACATCCATGACCGGATTTGTAAAGAAAACTCTTTAATGTGTTTTCCTCCTTCAAATAGAAAGTGTTTTGAAAGTAAACCTCTAAAAAAGCCAAATAGAAATCAGAGTCTAAATCAGTAAACAACATCTCTGGAGAAGAATTTTGAGTGTGCACACCCATTGGCTCCACTGCCCATTCTACTAGGCGTGGCTTTACATGCGTGTGCAAGTACTAGTACAAAGATGTGCAGCAGCAACAACGACAGCAGCAACCATAAGTGACCGCCGCAGAGGGGAAGAACGAAACTATGAGACATCCATGAGGGAGGAGGTGAAGCTGAACACGCTGCTGTCCCCGACTGAAGTGGAAAAAAGCAAGGTGCTGAGAATGTTTGAATCCTTTACAACGCCTTTGAAATAAAACAAAAACAACTAACAAGGGGGGAGGGAGGGGGAGAGCACTTGCTCCAATGTTCACAGAAGCGTTAAAAAAAGTCAGGAATCATGTATCCCGAATCTTTAACAATGGCTACCTCTGTGCAATTGCTCTTTGGTTGCATCCTTTGGAGGGGGTTCAGGGAAGAGACATGGTGTTCTTTCTATTCGCTTTATCATTATGAAGGTAAAAAATACATCGAACCCTAAAGCTCATGACCTCTTACACTGTGAGCATGCCGAAGAACCTGACTTTTCAGGGTTCATGAATCTTACGACAACCTGGAGGTGATACAGGGTACAGTCGGGTGGGGCCCCCAAAAAAAGATTTGGAATGGTGTCCAGAATTCAAAGTGTATAGGAATACTGGAGAGACATATAAGATGTCCTCACCCCTTCCCTCCCCACAGGTGTGAGTGGGGGGGAAGGGACACATGGAGCAGGAACATGCAGGGCTGTTTTGTACAGCCACAGCCTTGCAGCTAATCCATGGCATTGTCTTTTAACATATCTATAGCCTTTGGCGGTCACTTGGATGTGTTAAATGGCTGTGGCTAGGCTTGGAGCTAGGGGGATGAAGTCACTTTCCCCAAGATGTAACTGGGGGCAGGTCCCCCAAGTTAAGCGCCTGCATTGGGGCTTGGAGAAGATTGGCTGGAGGACATGGGATGATGACTGCCCAGACTAACGATGGCAGCCCAGTAAACTTGTATTAATACAGAAATACTGGCAGGTGTAACTGATCTTGGGAGAAGTCGGAAATAGGGGTACAGAGGAAGATGGGTGCTAGGATTTAAAAGCCAGACACAGCAGCCATTGAGGGAGAGAGCCACGTGGTTTCAGCAGAGTGAGGACCCCCTCTTGGTGAGGTGAAAGAGGGAGCCACGTGGTTTTGGCAGGGTGCAGAGCCCCTCTTTCCCAGGTGAAAGGGAAAAACCACGCAGCTTT